TCTCCACCAGTAACTCCCGATGGTTTGGCGGTTTAGTCGCTCAGCCGTGTCTGACTCTTGGTGACCCCATGGACTGTAGCCCACCAGGCACCTCCCACCAGGCTCCTCTGCCCAGGGAATTTTCCAGGCAAGAATACTGGAGTGGGTTGCCATTCCCTCCTCCAGGGGATCTTCCCGACCCAGGGATCGAACCTGAGTCTCTTGTGTCTCCCACATTGGCAGGCAGATGCTTTACCACTAGCGCCACCTGGGAAGCCCCCTGTGGGTCCCCAAAGCCCATGGCCTGAGGACAGAACACCTTCTGGGCCCCATCAGCAGGCCTGGGACAGCCTGGCCTGACGTCTCACACACTCACCAGGCTGCCCTCGGAACCTCTCAGCAGGCAGGCTGGCAGACGGCCCCTCCCCACTGCAAGGAAAAGGGCCTCCCTGGGTGGATGGTGCTGATGGTCGGGCTTTGACCAAGGAAAGCCATGGAGGACACTGACATCTGTAAGTCCAGCCGCTCGGCTCACCGCGTACCTGCCAGGGGACCCCAGGCTTGCAGCCCTGGAGTTCCAGCCCCAGGGACGCGGGCAGCCCACCTCGGGGAAATGGCAGAGAAGGGGGCACGTCACCCTAGGGGCTCTGTCCTCACCCCGCCCTCGGCCTTCCCGTTCAGCCTCGGGAATGGAGTCTGAATCTGAGGGGAGTGCTTCCCCAGTCTCTGAATCCTCCAGCACTGATAAACAGTAACAGGATCTAGGGGCTCAGAGGGTTAAACCTGCAGCGTGAGGATCCATCCACGCCGATGGGGGGGGTGGGGGGTCACCAGGTCCCCACTCGAGCTCCCCGAGGGGATAAGCAGGGCTGCACCAGGGGCCGAGAAGGGGTGACGTCGGTCTGACGCAATGACCCCAAACAATGAAAGCATCCAAAGTCAAAACAGGCGTGACCTATGGCCAGAAACATCCCTCCTGGATGCTCCAGGGAAACCGAACCCTCCGAGGGGAGAATCCCCCGATGTTCACTGGTGGGGACAAAAATCCAGGTATTTTGTGGGTTTTTGTTTTTTTTTGGCCACGTCCTGTGGCATGTGGGATCTTAGTTCCCTGACTAGGGATCAAATCCGTGCCCCCTGCCCATTGGAAGTGTGGATTTTTAGCTACTGGACTACCAGGGAAGTATCTAAAAATCCAGACATTATGCACTACTATCCTCAAATCTTGACAGATGTGAACTCAACGTCCTTCTCTCTTCCTTCCTCTGACTGAGCCGGGGTTTGGGGGACAAAGGAGCCCCCTGGGGCTGACTACCCAGCAGAGACCCCTCCTGGCGGGGCTTCTGAGTGGGAGTGTCAGGGTGCCCCTTCACAAGAAGTGGGCAGCTCCCTGCACCAGGAAACCGCAGAAAAGAGAGCCTGGACCTTCTAAAAAGACTCAGCACTCCCTGTCCCCGGGCCTGTCTGTAAAAGGGCCAACAGATAGACCCCCAAGTCTGACTCACTCTCGAGACCAGAACAAACAGAAATTCCAGTCACTGACAAACCACAGAGACAGGTCAGGAGAAACAGCGCAGAAATAAGGAAGACGCTGCAGGAAAAGAAACAGAAGAGGAAGAGGACAGCATGTAAAAATCAGACACCAGGTTCACCTGCTCTGGAGGAAAATACACCCGACTAGAAGAAGAGAGAGCTCAGTACTTCGTGCCAGGGGAACAATAATAAGCCATGAAACCTACTCCAAACAAACAACAATTCCAAAGTATAATTTCCAAAAACAGCAAGCGCAGGGCTACAAAAACAAAGTGATCGGTGGTCAATCAGAAGTCAGAATGGATGCATCTGAAAATACCGTAAAGAAAGGACAAACAGGGAAAATGACAGGTGATCAAAGGAATGAGAGAAAAGATGACGGAACGAGAGGAGGAAAAGCCGACACTGAAGGTGACCGTGTTCCCACAACGGAGAACAGCAGGGAGGTGCCCGAGAACACTAAGAGCAGAACCGCCACGTGATCCCGCAATCCCACTCCTGGGCACGCATCTGGAGAAAACTGCAATTCAAAAAGACACATGCATCTTAGTGCACACTCCAGCACCATTTACAGTAGCCAGGACCTGGAAACGACCTAAATGCCCATCGACAGACATGTATAAAGAAGACGTGGCACGTACAATGGATTATTACTCAGCCATAAAAAGGATGAAATAACGCCACTGCAGCAACGTGGATGCACCTACAGACGATCATCCTAAGTGAAGTGAGTCAGACGAAGACCACACGACATCACTTACATGTGGAATCTAAAAAAAGATTCATACACAAAGCAGAAATAAACTCACAGACACAGAAGATAAACTTACGGTTACCAAAGAAACTAAGAGTTTGGGACCAACATATACACGCATATAAAATAACCAACAAGGACCTACAAGATAGCACAGGGAACTATACTCAATTCTGTAATAACCTTTAAGGGCAGAGAATCTGAAAGAGAATAGATATTTACGCATATTGATACATGTATGTGTGTACCTGAATCACTTTGCTATATGCCTGAAGCTAACACAACATTGCAAATCAACTGTATTTCAGTAAAAAGGGGAAACTGTGTCATTGAGACAGAGAACAGCTCCCAGAGAGAGGAAGGGGAAAAGGAAAAATCTAGGAAACAGACTTCTTCAGGAAAAACCGCATGGCCAGCGCCAAACACTTCCTGGGTGCTTAGTCAACTCAGTCGTGTCCGACTCTTTGTGACCCCAGGAATCGTAGCCCGCCAGGCTCCTCTGTCCATGGGATTCTCCAGGCAAGAATACTGGAGTGGTTGCCATGCCCTCCTCCAGAGGATCTTCCCCACCCAGGGATCGAGCCCAGGTCTCCGCACTGCAGACGGACGCTTTACCATCTGAGCTACCTGGGTCAGTAACTGAAGTCAATTCTTTAGGAACCCAGTAAAGAAAAAAAATCAAGTCCTGGACAAGATACGTCTAGCACAGGTTCAGGGCAAGCAGACTATCAAACAACATCCCTGTAGGTCTGGGGCGACACGGGGCAGGAACTATGGCTCAAAGGTTACACAGGAAAACCACAGATGAGCTGACATGTTCACGTACACAGTTCTTATTCTTTGCGGATCCTGTATTGGGAATTTGCCTCCTTGCTAAAACTTACTGGTAACCCCAAATCAATATGAGCAGCACCGCTGTGACCACTCGCAGACAGAGCAGACATGCCGGTTCCAAGCTGGGTCTGAGCAGAGGACCAGCTAGCTCCCTTCTGTGTCCACCGCGATCTTATAAACAACTGTCTTTATCCGGGTCTATTTGGAGCCCTGTTTTGCATTTCAGTGCTTTTCATTGGTAATTCTGAGGTTTAAAATGGCCCCCGGGCAGAGCTGAAGCGGGGTCTGGTGTCCACGGACGAGAAGGTGGGGTCGAGCCTCGGGGAGAAGTCACGTGTCAGGTGAGCTGCCTCCAGTGTGAGTCACAGGCTGCTGGCCGTGAGCCCGGCACTAATCCTGAGTGCACCGCGTGTGTTAAATAACACTCCTGACACGGAAACGCATATGCAACAAGCTTGTGCACTGCTCCACGGGTGAGGCTGCAGCCAGAGGTGCTCAGGACCCTCACCCACTGCATCCCCCACGGGCGATGGGCCTCAATGAGCATCACGACCACCAGCGGTGAGACCAGCGGGCCGGTCACTGGGGAAGCACTGCCCCCAGGACCTCCTCCTGAGAAAACCCTGGATGGCCAGCTCCATCCACCTAAGAGGTGGGACGGAATACAGAGCAGTGACAGGAGAAGGCCGCCGTGCGCCCAGCAGCGAGCAGTGACCCTGGGAGAGGAGACCCCAGGGCTGTGAAGGCTGCACCAGGACAGGCGTCTGGTGGGGTGGACGGCGACCCCGGGCAGGGAGCCCTACNCCAGGACAGGCGTCTGGTGGGGTGGACGGCGACCCCGGGCAGGGAGCCCTACACCAGCAAGAATCGGTGGGTGGGGAGGAGAGGCCTCATGTGTACACGTGTGTGTGTGTGTGTGTGTGCACGTGCAAAACAGCTGCTTGTTCTCCACACACTGACCTTTTCCTTCCCAGTCTCAGAGCTCAGCTACGTTCCACAGCCTCCTCTGCGGCCAGGTACATGGGTCAAGTGCATGGGTCAGGTATGTGCAGTCAGGAGCATGTGGTCAGCTGCAGGTCAAGCGCATGGGTCAGATGCGTGCAGTCAGGAGCATGTGGTCAGCTGCAGGTCAAGCGCATGGGTCAGGTGCGTGCAGTCAGGAGCATGTGGTCAGCTGCAGGTCAAGTGCATGGGTCAGATGCATGTAGTTAGGAGCATGTGGTCAGCTGCAGGTCAAGCGTGTGGGTCAGGTGCATGCAGTCAGGAGCATGTGGTCAGCTGCAGGTCAAGTGCATGGGTCAAACGCATGGGTCAGGTGTGTGCAGTCAGAAGCAGCCTCCAGAGGACACAAGGGAAGGTGGGAGGAGAGATGTGGTCCAAGAGCTTCCTCTTTCCCTCCCTCTGAGCAGATACAGGAGACCCGAGAAGGACTCCAGGGTCCGGGGATCCTGCATCCCTGAATGGCTGAGTGGATGTGAACCACCCCCTCCGTGTCCCTGCCAATCCCCAGGGGACTGAGAAATAAAACATCTATGTGTCAGGTGCCTGAGGTTTGGAGGGCTGTTTATTACAGCAATTAGTTTAATCCACTCCCAATATACAGGGAGAGAACACTAAGTTCCTTACAGCAAAAAAAAAAAGGAGGAAAGAAAACTGTAATCAAAAGTGAAAACCAATAAAGAGATCAGCCTTCCAGTGTTTTTTGCAATCATTTCTTTTAACTTGATAGATTCATTTGAAAACAGTCTCTCTTGTGGCCAAAAAAAAAAATTACTAAAGTTCAGCTTTTCCTTCACTGAGTTTTTCTCCTTTTACTTTCAAATTAAGTCACCTTAATGAGGCTGATAATATTATTAACAGCGTGTACTTTGAGTCTGTGCTTACCCAGGCCACCCTTTACCTGCAACCCTTTGGAGAGACACGTCTGAAACGTCCGTGAAACGTCAGCGACAACCGCTCCGGGAGCTGGCATCTGTGCTTTTCTAAATGACCTGAGGCTTTTATAATAACCACGTAACTTTCACGAGAGATGCCAGATGACACGGAAGGGAGAATGAACGCTGGGCCTGGCCTGCTGCCAGGCTGGTCCTAGGGCTCAGGTCCTCCCGCGCTCTCCCTGGAAGGTGGGGTCGTGAGAGCTCGCCCTGAGATGACCCCAGGGCGCAGGGCCCCTCCCCAGGAGCGGGGGTTTCCTGGGAGACCTGAGGCGCAGGAGACTGGGCTTGGGTCAGACCCCAAGGGTCGCACTTGCGCCACTCGGCCAGGAGGTGGCGCTGCGGGCCTCCCCAGTCCCTCGGATCCCAGCCGGGCCCCTTCCCAGCAGGGCCTTCAGCCTCACAGGCTGGAGCCTCCCAGAGGCGTCTACACCCGCCCCAGCCCAGTCTACACCCGCCAGCCCCACCTCTCCACCTCCTCTCTAAACTCTAACAGGAGGGCTCCTCTCGGGCACACAAGCCCCAGGGAGACCTAAGGGGCAGAGACCACGAGAAACGAGACGCCCCGGCGGGGAGCCCATCCGGCACGGGCTGAGACCCCGGTCACCTGATCCCAAGAGACAAGAAACCCACTGGGAGGGGCCCACTCGGCCGGCCGTGGGTCCAGTGCCGCCTGCCAGCCTCCGGAAAGCCCCTCCTGGGGTCACTGAGCCGTCCCAGCCTCCCCGAGGCCCCGGACGCCGCATCCACTAGCCAGACCCTGGACGTGACTCCACGGGGGGCTCAGGTCCAGCCCCGCCCAGCCTGAAAGGTCCCCCACCAGGCCTGGTGCCGCCCCCCGCCCCAGCCAGGCTCCACCCCCCCAGCTTCAGCGTGCTGCCCTGCCACCTGTGCTGCCCACCCCAGAGGGAGCCCCTCCTGCGTCTCCAAGGCCCCCACAACAGCACCACAGCCAGGGAGACCCCTCTCCGGCACCCGCTGTGGCCATAGGGACCTCATGCAAATTCACCACAGAAGGACCGTCTCGTGGGCCTCAGACAGCACGGGGCTCAGACCTCGAGGGACGACTCAGGGGCTGCCGGCGGGCAGGGCGGGGAAGGGTATGCCGGGCAGACTTGCAGACTCCAGGAAGCGGGAGCCGCAGCGCCAGGGGAGGCAGCAGGGCCTGCCCGGGGCGGGCAGCCCGTTTACTAAGGCACCCACTGTGCTCGCTGCCACTGCAGGCCTGGTCTCTGTGCTGAGGCTTGGCCTCCATCCCTGCACACAGTAGGTGCAGCGAGCAGGGAGGCAGCAGGGCCTGCCCGGGGCGGGCAGCCCGTTTACTAAGGCACCCACTGTGCTCGCTGCCGCTGCAGGCCTGGTCTCCGTGCTGAGGCTAGGGGCGTGATCGCAGGCTGGGCGACCTGCGTGGGTAATACACACACACACACACACCTCCACACACCCCAGCTCCTCCCGGAGCCCGAGCCAGGCAGGACCTGTGGGGCCCCGAGAGCCCTGCCCGGGTGCTCGGAAACCAGCGCTAACAGGAGCCCGGCCGCGGCTCACGGGGACGGACCAAGGGGGCGGCAGGGCGGTCTGAAGCGCTCGGGAGTGAGAGGAACAGCTCTCTGTTTTTCTTGGAGGAGCAGCAGGCAGAGAGATGCGGGCTTTGGGTCAGAAGGGTACCGAGCGCCTGCTATAATAACCCCCTCTGCTTCAAACACAGCAATGATAGGTACTGTGCAAAAATAGACCCAGCAGGCAGGGCCAGGCTCAGAAATGAGAGAATCTCCAGGCCCAGGAGCACAGCGGAACCCAAAGACTGATGGGGGCAGGCTGATGGGGGAGGGCTGGGGGTCCCCAAGAGCCCGCGGAGGTTGGGAGGGCAGCTTCCTCACCATCAAGTGCAATAAAAGCCCCCCGGCAAGGACCCAGGTGAGGGGGCCGACTGCCGCCTCGTTCCACGGGTGTTAGCAGGACAGAACTGGGAGGGCAGGCTGCCCACGGGACACCCCCAGGTCTGTGGGCAGGGGTCAGAAAGGTCAGGCTAAAACCTGCCCAGGGACACCCCCAGCTCTGTAGGCAGCGGTCAGAAAGGTCAGGCTAAAACCTGAGATGACCAGGGGTCCTGGGGCAGAGGGGTGCATGTCAAACCAGCAATTGCACTTCTGTGTGAACTCTGTACAGGACGTCAAAGGTCAAGTTCACGTGAACAAGAAAGATGTCCCAGGCTGTTCCCTGCAAAACGGGTGCCCTGGTTAACCCAGTTCACACGCCACCCTAACCATTTAGGGTGTGGCTGACCAGGGTGTGGTCTCTACTTCCCACGGATGGCACAGCTGAGAGCACCGTGGACCCCAACGACCCCCACAGGGCCCCGAAAGGAGCCCTGAGAAAGGACCGTTCAGACACGGCATCCTTGCTCACAAAGGCTGGAAGGATGCAGGCTCGCCTGGAGCCTGAAGTGCACACGACATGACTGACGGGGCAGAGGCACCCACAGCAACAGGAACGCCAAAGTGGGGGGCGGGGGGGCAGAAAGGGGGTCACAGCGCCTGTGACATTACTTGTAACTTTGGTTTCCTCGAAACAGTTCCAGGTGATGAGACAGAAAGCCAGACTTCGACAAACCTGGGACACAGAGGCTTGCAACGCTCTTCTCTGGGCATCTCTTTGTGCGTGAAATATTTCACAGTAGAAGTGGGGGGGAAGCAAGGGGGAGGGGAAGGGAGGAAGATGGTCGCCTGGCCGACTACCCCAGGGGCTGGGGAGCACGGACCTGGAAGCCATTCATTTTGGGGTGACGAGCCTCAGAAAAGTCCCAGGCAGGACACAACTCAGCCAGTGCCAACTTGGCGTCCAGTTTGAGAAGGCTGACACCCACCATTTACCTCCAGAGTTCATTTAAGGTCAGCGGACACCCATGGACATGCTTCTCTGCTGGGCCACCAGGTCCCAGGACATTCCTAGCCCCTGATCAGACACTCAAAGCCTAGCAAAGTGCAGACGCCACCCCAGAAAATGCACCCCCCACACCCAGGGAAAGGCAAGACCACAACTGGGTCAGGGGCTCCCCTACTGCCAAGAGCACCTGGACTGTCCTCGCACACGGGGTCCATAAATGCGGCTCTGCCCAACCTGCAGGGGAGCTGAGTGAGTCCTAACCCGGAGGTTTCTCAGGAAAACCCTGATATCTGGCTCATCCTGACCACCAGCAAAATCTGGCCTGGCTGAGGTCGGCCATGCAGCACCCGGGGCTGGAGCAAGCTGCTGCGACTCCCTGGCCAGCCTGCCCTCCTCCCCAGGTCCTCCCAGAACCGAGAGACTCGCACGGTCAGAGCTCCTGCCGCCGAGCTCTCTCCCTGGCCCGTGGGCCTCAAGTCTGAGCAGCTGCGAACAGATCCACCCAACACCCCAGCCTGGCCTCGTCCTCGGTCTTCTGCCTTCACACCTCCCGAGAGGGTCCCTGGTCAAACATCTCAGCCAGCAGATTACCCGGATCACCCAGGAAGGGTCTTGTTTCTTAAAGGAAAGTTACCAAGCTAGTCACACAGTCATGTCTGACCCCACAGGCTCCTCTGTCCAGGGGATTCTCCAGGCAAGAACACTGGAGTGGGTTGCCATTCCCTTCTCCAGAGGATCTTCCCGACCCAGGGTCAAACCCGGGTCTCCTGCATTGGAGAAACCAGGGAAGCCTAAAATTTCCAAAGTACATCCCATCCTCCACTAAAACTTCAGAGCACCCGGGGACTCCTGAATTCACTGACAAACGCCTCTGTCANTCCCTTGGACAGCAAGGAGATCAAACCAGTCAATCTTAAAGGAAACCAACTCTGAATACTCATTGGAAGGACTGATGCTGAGGCTCCAATCCTTTGGCCACCTGACGTGAAGAGCTGACTCACTGGAAAACACCCCGATGCTGGAAAGATTGAAGGCAGAAGCAGAAGGCGGCAGAGATGAGATGGTTGGATGGCATCACCGATTCAATGGGCATGAACCTGGCACACTCCAAGAGATGGTGAGGGACAGGGAAGCCTGGTGTGCTGCAGCCCACGGGGTCACGAAGGGTCGGACACAGCTTGTCAAATGAACAGCGATCCTACAGAACAGTATTTCTTGGGGTCACGAAGAGTCGGACACAGCTTGTCAAATGAACAGCGATCCTACAGAACAGTATTTCTTGGGGTCACGAAGAGTCGGACACAGCTTGTCAAATGAACAGCGATCCTACAGAACAGTATTTCTTGGGGTCACGAAGAGTCGGACACAGCTTGTCAAATGAACAGCGATCCTACAGAACAGTATTTCTTTGTCCTGGCTGCACACGGAAGCCACCTGACATCTTTTTCTAAAAAACAACGGTGCCAGGAGGTCCGATTCAACTGGTCTAGGTGAGGCCCCAATATGGACATTGTCTTTACTTTTTTATATTTATCTGCCTGCACCAGATGCTAGTTGCGGCATTTGAGATCTAGTTCCCTGACCAAGGATGGAACGCCGGCCCCCTGTATTGGGGCCACGTCAGCCACTGGACCACCAGGGAAGTCCCCCTGCTGGATGTGACCTTTAGATGCCTGGAGACTCTGAAGCTGGCAGAGACTGAGGTAAAAGGAGAAGGGGCGGTGGATGGTGAGATGGTCAGATGGCATCACTGACTCAATGGATACAAATCTGAGCAAACTCCAGGAGAAGGAAATGGCAAACCCATTCCAGTGTCCTTGCCTGGAGAATTCCACGGACAGAGGAGCCTGGCAGGCTACAGTCCAAGGGTTGCAGAGTCAGACACGACCGAGCGACTAACGGTCAACTGCTGCTGCCCAGGGCGTGGGAACAGCCCGCGGGTCCAGATCCAGAGGTGATTGTGAGTCAGGTCAGACGATGGGCAAACACTGGGAATGTACAAACGCTGGCAACACCGTGTTTCTCCAGGGTGACTCTGCAGCCGCGGCGCCCAGGCCGGTGACCCGTTGTGGACACACAGTCTGAACAGTAAAGTGTACCTGACCCCAGGGGCGTCCTTCCACAAGACCAAAGCTGGAGGTGGGGGTCCTTA